TTCATGTAAATGTCATCATACAATATGCAGCCTTTTGTCTGACTTCTCTCACTGAGCATAGTACATCCAGAGTTCATCCTTGTTGTAGCATAGATCAGTACTTCATTTTTCATTATGCCCAGATAATATCCTGCTGAATACATCAGTGATGGCAAACCTTTTAGAGCTGTCAGTGCTAAGAAATGTGCCCATTGTGGCATATGGACCACCACTGGTACAGATATACACATTTTATTTATCCATTTATCTACTAGAGGACATTTGGGTTGTTTCTGCTTTGCAAGGGGCATTAATTACAAATCTGCTGTGGACATTTGTAGAAAATGTTACATTGTTTAGCCAGAGATCAAAATTAAAATTGTGTAGTGAACTTGATTGATAGTCATTGTGTAACAGTGAGGAATACCAGAAGAAATGAATTGGAAAATGAAAAAAAAATCCTTCTGTTGTAGAGTAAACTGTTTAAAAGTGTTTAGTCAGCAAGGTACCTTTTTCCAGAAAAAGTTATATTTATAGCTAATAAGGGTTTTTAAATATTTCTAGAAATTTATTTGTTCATATTTGTAGCACAGTTCTTTTACATGCCCTTTACATTGAAACCTGTAATATCTTAAATAACTGGTCCAATATTTATGAACATAAAAAATTAAGACTGACATGTCAGCCTTTTATTGTGTCTTATTTGCAATATTCGCTGTGTGCCCGCTTTGTTAAATAGGGCATTGAAGAGGATGAATGTTAACAAGATACCCAAACCACTTCTGTAGTGAGCCAAAGAAGGAGAACCAAATGGGCAGCAGAGATACACCCTAAAGAGCAGCTTGAAGTGCGGGTGCAGCTGTGGAGTGTTTGGAAACAAAAGTAAATCAGTGTGCACAGTTAGAAATGAGTGGCTTCTATGAGCAAAAGCATCACGCAGTCTTGACTCAGGCTACAAGACTGTAAACAAGGGTAAGCCGTGGAGCCAGCGGTGGTCAGACCAGAAGCAGTGGTTCACCAGCTTCAGCAGGCCGCAGACGCACCTGTAGGCTTGCTGAATCTGTTTCCTGGGCCCAAGTTTATTTCTCAGTAGGTCTGGGGTGGGGCCCAAGCACCTTATTTCTAACATGTAGCTAGGTGATGCTGCTGCTGCCAACACATTTTGAAAACTAGTAGCATAAAGTAACTACCAGAATTTTCAGTCATGTCATGTATGTGTATGTGTGTCTAACATAACTGTATTATATTTATGTGTATGATAGCACCGTGTTAACATTTGACTCAAATACTGTTTGCTATCAACCTACTTAAAGGCTTCTTATTAAATCTTCCTTTCTGACCAGAGTGAGCTCACATTCTACCTCTAGGATGGTTTCTTAGTACTCTAGCAAGTAGACTTTGGATCCCAGACTCTTAGAGTCTCATGGAGATAGTTCTGCTGCCTTATTCATGAAGTCTCCTTGCCAATAGTCATTGAAGCTGTGCATGAGTTCTGTGAGTCAGTCTCCATTTCCCAAAGCAGCACGCTCCATGTGTGGAAACCATGACCATTAGAAAGTTCTCCTTTGTTGGGGGCTTGGGATAGTTCGATCCCTGGTATCGAAAAAGACAAAAAAAAAAAAAAAAGTTCTCCTTTGTTATTTAGACTAAAAGATGTTTTCCTAAAACTTTCACCTCCTGACTGCTGTTCCAACTCATGCATAATAAGAGACATTATATTATTACTAAAGTTTTATGACTACGTTCAAATAAATGCCTTTCATTCATTCTTCCACCATCCTTTTTTTTCATTCTTGTTTTGGACAAAGATTAATATATCTATCACCCATTCATTACAAGTCCCCACACTATCCTGGTTGCCTGTCTTTTATTTTTTTACATTGAGAATTTAACATAATTCTGTAATAGCATAAAAATAATCTTAAGATAGTGAAATAGTATTGAAATAGTGTCTAGTAGTTAAGATCATACGCATGCTTTGACACTGAAAATACTTAAATTTGAATCCTCTAGTTGCCTCTGTTTAACATTGTGATCTTGAGGAAGATTTCTAGCTTCTTTGAGATTCTTTTGCCTCATATTTAAATTGAGATTATAAAACCTCCTCCATGCTGTATTAATCTGTGTCTTGTTGCTGTAACAAAATACATTGAGGCTAAGATGCTTGTCAGTAAAAGGGGTTTGTTTAGCTCACAGTTTTGAATATTTAAGAGCATGGCACCAGCTCTGATGAGCACTCCCTTGGCTGCATCACAACACAGTGGATGTTTTCATGGTGGGAGCACAGTGAGACAAGAGGCCATAGATGGGCTCTGGGCTCAGACTCCCTCTTTCATAACAGCTTAGTCTTGTGGCAGCTAATCAGATTCTTGTGAGAACAACAATAGTCCTTTCCGCAGGCAGCATCTCCCACTGGGCCTCACCACTTAAAGGTGGCACCACTTCTTCACATTGCCTTTCTAGGGACCACACTTCCAACACATGAACTGTGAAGGACAAGCTGTATCTACAGCAGGTGCTAAATGTAATTGGAAAACAGCTTTTTGAAAAGTAGTTAAATTCTTAGACTTTCCCCTGCCAAGGAGCTGAATAGTTACCCTAAATACCCATCACCCACCTAGGCCCTGGTGGAATCTGGACTGTGCACTGAGCCTCAAAAATGACAAGCCCATTCAAAGCTTCCCTTTAGCTTTTCAATCCTGTTCTTAATAATAAGCAGACATGGAGTACCAGACATCTGAAAAAAATTCCCACATGGAATAGTGAGGCCAAACAAACAAAAAGCAGAAACTTGGAGGAAACAAGTTATACTATGAAGGGAAAAGAAAACTTTTTTTAAAATGCTCTTTACTATACTCAAAGTGATAAGAAAATTCAGTGTAACCATAAAATAAAGAACAGGATGCTACAAGAATAATTTCTGAGAACAACAAAAAAGTTGAAACTTACAACAACAGAAAAGAGAAACTCGGTGGTAGAATTGGAAGCTGAAGTTGGCAAAATTTCCAGGAAAGTAGAGCAAAGAGGCCAAGGTAGAAAAAACAAAATAGCAAATTAGAAGGTTAGTCCAGGAGATCCAAGGCCTGAACAAGAGGAGGTTCAGAAAGAAAGAACAGACAAAACAATTGGTTATATCCTTTGAGAAAGTTTTGAAGCTGAAGGAAATGAGTTGCCCATTTAAAGTCCCACTTCCACTTGACCTCAGTGAGTGAAATTCATTCCATTTCAAGGCACAGCACTCAGAAGCTGTGGAGCACCAGGGCCAACGAGGAAAGGTTTTCTAATACTTCAGAGGCAAACAGGGTATATACACTTAATAAGAATTAAAATAATCCCAGCTCTTGAATACTGGATGTGAAAAGATGGTAAAATTTAGCTTTCAAAACTTGGAAAGAGAACACTTTCTGCCCAGAATTATTTATCTAACCAGTCTATCAGCAAGACTAAAAGTAGAGTCTGTCTTCAGACACAAAGTTCCCAAACCTTTACCTTTTATTCATCCTTTTCATTGACCTCCTGGAGAATATGCTACACCAAAAGGAGATGGGGGATGGACATGCCAGATGACACCCAGAGACTCCAAGTTAAAGTGCAGCAGTGTCACTCAGAATGCAAACGTACGAGGCTTTCCTCCCTGGCCTGCCCACTAGCCTTGTAGCATCTGTTTAATCCAAGGATAGAATGTGCAGATCAGCCTGACCTACATCCTGAAGTATACAGGACTCATCTTGACCATGTGCGGTGAAGTTCCTGCTTTCCCTTGCATGTCCTGCTGCTGCACCAGCTTAGAATACTCATTTCATCCTCAAGTTTTGTGATTAGAATTTTTCCTGAAAACTGGAGATAAGCCACAAAGGGCGCTCACAGGCAAAAATAGAGAATAGCCACCTACCCTGGCCATATTTTTATAAACATTCCGATTTAGAAGGGACATGAATATGTAGAGCAAAATACAAATAGGTAAGTCATGTGTGCCAAGTGGTAAGCTTCAGTTTTCCGGTTCTATGACTCACAATGAAAGTAAGTCTTTTTAAAGTATAAAGTTCATAGTAAATCAGAGACTAGAGAGCTGGTTCTCACTAGCTTTTATCATGTGTCCATAAGTGAATGCAAACAGATATTCCATGAAGAACAAAGTTCAATATTGAAAAAAGAAGTTTATCACCTAAGTTACTGTAGATTTCTCAGAATTTTAAGTGTGCTGACAGACCCAGTGTCCTGACATGCAGCACAGTGTGTAATTTGCCCAGCCTTACTTGACCACAAAGCCTTGTTTCACAACAGGGCTGACATCTTAAAGAACACATTGTTCCTCAGAAGAGTTTTGGGAATAATGATTCAGAATGAAGTATGAGAGAAGACACTGTGATTTTTGCCTGAAAATGAATAGATTTTTTTTTCCTTAAATCTTTAATTTTGCATAAAACAGGTTTAGAATGCTTTTTATGTTACTTATAGTTTATTGGTAAGAAAAGTTATTATATGTGAGTGCTAAAGTGTTCTGAATTTCAGGTGAGCTGGACTTCAGCTTTGATTGTATTTGATCACAGGGAGGAAAAGATTGATTTCACTGACTGTGGGGCATTTCTCCTTAGTCAGTAGTTCATTTTGTCCTAATAATCTTGTGGGAGGGGGATGAAAGACTAAGTTGCAGGTTTCTCAGACTTTCTACTTTAAATACAACTTAAAATGCTGGCAGTCAGCAGAATGGGGTTTAATGCTTTTCTCTCTGATGAAGTTTACAGTAGTGTAAAAATATGTTGGGCAGGGCTTGGGAGTCAAGATGAATATTGATAATCCTATTTTAGGTTCATTTCCATGGTATTAGTGATATATAATACATCTGTAGATTTTTCTCAGTTTCCTGCTTTGGATTTTTTAAAGCTTATTATGAATATTTAACATTTAAAATTCTAAGTAGTTTATATTGAGACCTTCCAGATAGACTTCTACATTATAAAATTATTCTATTACTCTCATATGTATGTTACATGAATCTTTCTCTCATTTATGCATTTTAGTTTCAACTGCCTCCGAGGTACCATCTTCCTTTTCTGCTTCCTCCAAGTCACCTTCTGATGCGGCATCTCCGGAGAAGCCAGTTCTCCACTTACCCCTGGTTCTGCCCAGGCCTTCCTTCTGGGCTCTGCCACATCCACAGTGGTCTTCTGGCTCCATTAAGCATAGAGATAAGTCAGCCAGGGCCCGCCACCCCTTCGCTCCTAGTGGCCCAGGGTCTTCTGATGAAGAAGAAAATGACAATCTCAACCTGCTGGAAATTCTGCCAGATAACTCTGATTCTGCTAAAAATCAAACAAGTCATATTTCCAGCAGTAACTGGGTAGCTTTTCCCACTGAAAATGTAGACAACATTCCCTCCACATCCTGCTCTAGTTTTCAGGCAACCCAAGGGAACCTGCCTAGGGAGCCTGAAGCAAACAATTCCATTAACATTCTTCTAGGGGAGGTAAAGAGCGCAATAGTAAGACTCCACGAAGATCTGAGCACAGTGATACAGGAGCTTAGCGTCATCAGTAGCCACCTGGTAAGCATGAGCAGGAGTATTCTGCAAGTCAGCAAACCTTCGTAGCTTCTCAGTCTGCTCAAACCTAACAACTTCAATAGCCATTTTGATAGAATTCTTATGCTTCACTTCTGAAAACACTTAAGAAGTTAACATTTTATAGATTCTCATTACTATGGGGAAGGGGTGGTAGTGTAATTTTCCTTGTCAGATTTATTAACGAGTACCTTTCAGCCAGGCATGGTGGTACACACCTGTAGTTCCAGCACTCTGGGAGGCTAAAACAGGAGGATCACAAGCTCAAGGTCACCCTGGGTGACTTAGTGAGAGCCTGTCTCAGAATTGTAAAAATAAATAAAAGGGGCTGGAGATGTAATTCAATACAAAGGCCCAGAGTTCATTTGTCAGCGTGAGGAATTTCAAATTAGTAAAGTCATTTGTGTGATTTATTTTCCAAAGAAGAGTCACATTTGATAATTTCCAATTTGTATGTTCATTTGAAACTGAAGAGAATGTCATTCTTCCATGCTTTGTGTTGTCCCTCATCATGGCATTAAACGTTAGTGAAAGATGAGCCAAGACTTCAAACTGCAAGTAACTCAGAGCTGCAGGCCAAGTGAGCAAGAAGCCCTTTCTTGTTCGGCTGTCTGGAGCTTCAGCGCTAACAAACCTCTGCCTTGGCTTAGGCGGTTTGAGTTTGGAGCATTGGTTTCATGTGTTCTCTTGGAAGTTTCAGGTTCTGCAAAACAAGGCTAGAAATCTTTTCCTTTCAGATGTCATGGTGTTGATCGTTAAGCTGAAATAAGCAGGGCATGGGACATATGTTTTTATTGTCAGCATACTTTATAAAGTGAATTCAAGTGCATACTTTTCCCTTCTATTTTAGAAATAAATTTGATTTTTCATCTTATGTGTATCTTTTTAATTTGCTAAGGCAGTCTTTCAAATAGAAATATCTTGGCTATTTATGGACAAAATGACCTAGTTTGGAAATTACAGTCTAGTGATTCCCAACCCAGCTAAACACTGGAATCACCATAGAAGCTTTCACTTTGTTTTATATTTGTTTGAGAGAAGGGTTCAGCGGGCTCCATGTTCCCATCAACAGTAACCAACTCAAGGCTAAAATAATCCTGATTATTTTGAAGAAATGTGGAACATTTAAAAATAGACTGATGCCCATGTCCTTCTCCCAGACAAACTGAATCTGGTTTTCATCATGCAGTTTTGTCTAGGAGATTGAGGGAAGTGTCAGTGCAGCCCTAAAGCAAAAAGAGGACATTTGACATTTTTGAGAAATGGCAGGGAGGCCAGTGTGGCTGGAGTGAAGAGGGACAGTAGTAGATCTGAAGTGATGGACCAGAGAGAGAGCAGGGCATAGTGGCAAATGATAGAAGTTCTTGAAGACTATTATTAGAGATTGGCCTTCTAAAACAAAAATTATAGTGGATTTGGGTACAAAATGGCATACTGTGGCTTAGATTCTAAATGATGGCCCTGGCTTTGGCAGGAGAAGTGTGGTACAGGGACCTGGGGTGAAGCAGGTAAGAGCTACTGGTGATTCAAAGCAGAAGGGACAGAGTAGAGGCAAGAAATGGGAGTTGGTTTAGAGGCTCACTGGTGGATTGAAAAAATACATGAAAGAGCAAACTGAAGAATGAATTCAAGGTACTGGACTGAGCATTGAAATTCAAGATGAAGTTACCATCAACTGAATTGAAGATATGCCTAGAGAAAATTTCAAGTTCACTTTTGGATTTGTTTAATTTGAAGTATCTATTAGATAACCAAGTGGAGATGTTAGTTATACACCCAGATGTGACAACTGAATTTGAGAGAGAGATCTAGTCTGGAGAGGAGGCTGGGAGTTTGTATCTGGTCACTGACAACCTGAAACTGAATGAAATCACCACAGGAATGAGTACGGTTGTGGAAGGAAGCTAAGGCCTGAGCCTTCAGCCTTCACGGTCTATGAGATGAGCGAGAAGTGGAAGAACCAGTGAGCAGGCAGCAGGCTAAGGAAAGCCTCCACTGAGAGAGTAACAAGGCAGTTTGGGGGGCCAAGAATGTACACCAGTGCCCTTCCCCCAAGTTCACCAGTTACTAACATCTTTCCACACTTGCTCTGTCTCCCTCCCTCGCTAGACATGTTTATGTCTGTAACACGTTCTGTAGATCCAGGTATATTTCCCTGAGTCCTTTGAAAGTGGAAGTCTTCATGATGTCACATGAATAAGGGCCATTGTTTTCCAGCGCACCTTCCCATCGATCAATTCTCTCTCCAGCTGTGTCTAAATCTGTCAGGTTATTTATTTATTTTTTATTTCTAAAATTCTATGTTCTCTTAACATCTGCTATATTTTCATAGATGCATGTTTGTTGCAGATATTTTAAGCACATCTTTACTAGTGAGAAAAATCAATACAGAATTCTGGCAAGTTAACTAGGGCATATTTTATTAGCAAACTAGGAGAGAACACTATGAATTTAAAACTACATTTTCTTTTACATGGTTGTATCCAACGAAGTTTTTAAAAATTGAGATATAGTCCATATACCGTGAAGTTTACACTTTATGGTGTGCAGTTTGGTGGTTTTTAGTATACTATATTGTAGGATTGGTCAGCCATCACCACTGTCTGTGTACAAAACATTTCCATCACCAAAGACAGTTGTCAACAGCCACTCCATTTCCCCTTCTTCTAAGTCCCTGGCAACCACCGATTTCCTTCATGCCTTTATCTATTTGGATATTTCATATAAAAGGAATCGTGGCTTTTTGTATCTGACTTCTTTCATTTTGCTTAATATTTTTCAGGTTTATCTGTGATGTCACATGTATCAGTTTTTCACTGCTTTTTTATAGCTGAACAGTATTGCACAGATACACTGCCTTTTGTTTATCCTTTCGTTAATGGATATTCAGGTTGTTCACACTTTTGTTGTTATGAATAATGCTGCTATAAATATTCACGTGAATGGGTTTCCCATTCACTTAGGTACATACCTAGGAATGGCATTGTTAAGTCAGAAGGTAACTAACTCCTATGTTCAACTTTTTGAGAAACTGCCACACTATTTCTCACAGTGACTGCATGACTTTACCATAAGTTTTAGTATACAATACTTTCATTGTTCTCTATCTCAAAATGCCTTCTAATTCCTATTATGAAGCGGTGAAGAAGTATATTTCCAAATTTCAAAGCATATTGTGCTTTCTGATAAACTTAACGTCTAGACTTGTTATAGGTCTATTTTTGTTGTCTGTTGTTTCTGCTGGATTATGCTCATAATATTGTTTCCACGTGGTTATCTTTATGTGTTGGTCATGATACTTGAAAATTTATTTGCATAAATAACACAAGACCTTGTTTTTGCTTCTGCTATTTACACTGGTTAGGTAAATCAAGGTCATGGCTTAAAATTCTCCAAAAAGCCCAGATTAATCCCATACTTAAAGTCCTCATAAGGGACAGTTCTTTTCAGTCATCACCACTGTATTGCCACTGTGTATCACTTTAAGGAGCATCTGCGTTAGACTTCTCACCTTGTGTGAGGTGACTTCTGTTCCTGTCACCTTTCAGTGCCAACAAATGCCCCTGGCTTCTGTGATCATTTTCCTCCCAGCTCTCCCATTGTCTTTTAAAGTACTATTTGTACGGCTCTGTACAAAGCCCTGGGAACATGGTAGGAGCTAAACTAGATATAGTGCCTGTTCTCAGAGAGCTCGAGCTCTAGAGTTTTGGAGAAATTTGACAGATTAGTCAGATTGTTTGCCAGAATGTAAAAGTCTAATTTGTTTGGGGAAGGATTATTATTTAATCTCGTCAGGCAATTTGGAGAAAGCTTAAAGATGTAATCTTTTGAGCCAAAATATGAATTCTAGGATTATTAAAATAAATACACCAACAACATATAGAGCAAATAAACTTCTTTATGAATTAGAGTATAAAGTGAAGGTGACATTTTCTGCTTTTCTTCATACATTCGGGAGATTATGTGGAAGGATACAGTATCCTCTTTTCTTGTTGCTTTCAGACTTCTTAGTTGTACTTTGCCAAGTAGAAAATAGAAAGTTTCCAGAGACGCAGAAGTTCTTCCTCCCCACCTACCTCAGCCAAAACTACTCCACAGGGACCTCGAATGCTCAGAGCAACTGCCAAAATAGCCAAGTCAACAAAAACTATCCCTTTCAGAAACTGCCTCACTCGTTATGTGCTTACCACATGCACGTAGTCACTGCAGGTTTTAAAAGGTCTTTCATTGCTCACATATTTTAATACAACCACTTATTAATTAGTGTAATTAACAAGCGCTTATTTGAGTATTTAGCCAACTCCATTAAATGCGTAGAACCAACTTGGCTTAAATTAAGAGTGGGTATATTCTGATTGACTTTGTAATTATCTCAGATTAAAAATAGTTCACTAGATGTTACTCTCTTTAAGTATTTTAGTTTGAACTTGAAGGTGTTATACAGCAGTTATAAAAATATTTTCATTTACTGTCAAATTACTCATGTGTTCATTCTTTAAATATTTATCAAGCATCCATTATGAACAGGCACTTCGCCAGGCATCAGGGACATGGAAGAAGATGGATGCACTCCTGTCTCAGGAGCCACAGCTCAGCAGTCCCAGGGAGGTGAGGGAGCAAGCGCTGGGTTAGGCCCGTGGGCTTGGGGAGCACAGGACAGCGCACAGGGCCTGGAGAAGAGTCCTGTCCAGCTTGGAGGGGACAGGATGCTATCTGGAGGGAAAGAAGGTCCCACAGTATCTGAAGGGTGAGAGGGAGCTGGAAAGCTTCTGCTTAGGGGAGGGTTAGGAGACAGAGCACCCTCTGGGCAGACAGGTCAGCACGTTCCAGCAGTGAAGATGACATCTGAGCAGGAGAACAAGCTAGTGGAGCAGTTGGGAGTGTGAGGAGTAAGCAGGAATCACAGCCCTGGTGAGTGGAAATTGAGCACTTCACTTCCAGCTTCACACAGTGATGCCGCCGGCACAGTAGTGGCAGACCCTTAGAGATGAGTGCTCAGGATGCACTAGAACTCATTCATTTATCACAGAGTGCCAGCGCTGCAGTGAAGCCAGGGTACCAAGGTTTCAGTGTAAAAGAAACAGCTCATACATTAACATCTTTTGTCCAAAAAAATAAAATGCGTGCTGTAGTTTCGCCACCACCAGGATGCGTGACAGCAAGGTGACCTTTACAGCCTTGATAGAAGAAAGAGTGAAAAGTAAATGGGTCAAGGTTGGGGATGAGAGGGTTTCCACACTCCATTCACAAATTAATAAAACTAGACTTTTAGGAGTTTTTTGGAGAACTTGGTGACTCACCCTCTTTCGAGACAAGCTGCTTATGACAGCCATTTGCCCCAGCGCGCAAAGAGAATCTTCTTTTGTGTCCTCATTTGAAAGAGAAAGGGAGTACCCAGAACAGCTCATGAATCAGTTATTCTAGTCTGCATTCTGGGGACTGCTTTTCTGGTTTTTATTTTCTTTTTAATAGAGTAGATTCCGAGAAGTGATGAAGGGGTTTAGAGATGTGGAATTGAGAGATTTTTATTTCTTGCCAAACACCCAAGTAATTGGAGGAGGCTGAGCACATTATTGTTATGCCAGAGTGTGTGCACCACCTTTTATCAGCAGACAGGCTTTGAGAAGTGTAAATTGGCTCAGGAAAAAACTAGGTTTTCAAGATGATTTTGTTTGGTAATTTTGAATTCTGTTTTCTCACTGATAATGCAGGAAGTTCTCAAAGATATGGTAATTATTGCAGAAATATGGCTTCAGGCATTTGCAGCTATTCAAACAGTAAAATTCTATTATAAAATGTCACATTCTACATGTTAAATTATGCTACAGTTAGAAACTTGTCTCTGGACCATACACTACATATTCCTTACAACAT